AGACTTGATGGAATTTGCTTACAATAATGGTTTTCATTCTAGCATTGGTATGTCACCATTTGAGGCACTTAATGGTAGAGCTTGTCGTACGCCATTGTGTTGGTCAGAGGTTGGCGCAAGAGTGCTAGAGGGCCCAGAGATTGTGGATGAAACTACTCAAAATGTTCAGGTGATTAAGTCTAACCTGAAAGCGGCCCAGGATCGACAAAAGAGTTTAGCAGATAGACATGCCACTGATCAAGTATATGATGTGGGTAATTTGGTATTTTTGAAATTGTCACCTTGGAGAGGGGTAGTGCGGTTCGGAAAGAAAGGCAAGCTAAGTCCTAGGTACATAGGACCTTATGAGATCACTGAAAGGATTGGCGAAGTTGCTTACAGATTGGAGTTGCCTCCGGAGTTATCTAAGGTGCATAATGTGTTTCATGTCTCGATGCTTCGACATTATGTTTCAAATCTTTCACAAGTGATTCCTCCTCAACCTTTGGAGATTAATCCGGATTTGACGTATGATGAGGAACCAATGACTATCTTGGATCGGAAAGACAAGGTTCTAGGGAATAAGACAATGAGCTTGGTAAAAGTATTGTGGAGGAACCACTCAGTAGAAGAAGCTACTTGGGAGACAGAAGATCGAATGAGAGAGATGTATCCAAGGTTGTTTTATGAGTATTAGTGGATTGAGTGTTGTATGAATTTCGAGGACGAAATTCTATAAGGAGGGTAGATTGTCACAGCCAGTCCCAAAATTTCATTTATCGTGGATGTGAAATGACAGAATTGCCCTTAAAGGTTGCTATGGTATGTGTGACATGTTTATTTGAATATTTCATACTCTCCTAAGTTCTTGGAAAATAAAGTAAATGGATTAAAATTGTATACATTTTTGTGTGGTTAGGGACTTAAAGAAAATTGGATTGTGGTTTGTTCACACACACAGGGGACACATACCCTCACCCCGTGCCCTATCTCTCATCCCTCTCAATTCACTCTCTCTCCCTCCCTTTTGAACTTGTACGGACAAGAGCAAAACCCCTCAAAACTTCACCGATCAACATAAAAAATGTGAGTTCCTTCATCCCTGCAACCTTCTGAATCGATTGGTACTATTTTTAGAACTGGAAACCCTCGAAATCACGTCGAAACTGTAACCCAGTTTGAAAAAATTGTTCATGCACACGTGAAATGTTGGTTTTTAGGGAATTCTAAGCCTGCAGGGAGCTTAGTGAGGTCCCAAGGAAGCTCGGAGTACTTAGTTTGAAGGTTTTGGACGTCGGGATCGCAAGGTTCGAAGTTGGCCGGTTTTCTTGGATTTTCTCCGGTGAGATTTCGTGTGTTTTTTAGCCTTAAATTAGTACATCGTGATTCTTCATGTTTAGGGTTATATGGCATATATGCTTAATGTGTTTTTAAATTATGGACTTGTTGGATACTCTTTTTGCATATTATCATTCTTTTATTATCTTATCCATGAATTTCATACAAGTATAATTTTTTGTAAGTGTCAATATGCACTTATTTACAAGATATACAAGAAATTTACCTAAATTCGCCTAGGCGCCCGTTGTTGGAAATATGCCTTGAAAGTCAATCTTTGGAAGAAATCTTTCAGGACAATGAATGTGTGTATAGATGACTCTTATACATCAAAAGGCAAAGATACTAATTAGGACTATCTCAATAAACGATATATGTCCTAAATAATGAATCCATGGACAATGGATCGATGGAAGAAGTAATCTAATGATGTTAGACTACAGAGACCTTCTTCACATAACCATCATGTCCAAAAAGGTTTTTGGTCATATAAGGAAATTTAGTAATGTAAGATACTTATCTTTAGCATCCCGGAATTTAAGTTGATACACAACACACCTATTCTATAAAATTAACAAAATTTCAAAGTATAATTATACTTAAGACTTTAAACAAATTTCAAAATAAATAAAAATAAAAATAAAAAACCACCCAGCCGCCTAGCCCCCCTAGCCCACCTAGGCGGCCGCCTAGAGCCACCTGGATTTTTCTTACCGTTTTGCACAAAATCACCTCGGTTCCAAGGCGCCTAGCTCCTAGGTGCTGCCTAGGGCGTTTTTTAGAACACTGCAGCGCATATTAAATCTTCAGAGCGTAGCTCAGAGCATGCCATATGCTTTCACTGATTTAGCGTGAGTGACAAGATCACAAATTCCAGCTGCGAATGTGCCTGTAAAGATAGATGTACCAAATGTACAATGGACTTCCCACCTGGAGATCTAAGATGCCACTTTGGCCGATCCACGTACATTAGCGGCTAGCTAATCATATGCCCCTACACAAAAGTATGGCAGACTTCTTGGTTCAACGGATTCACACCCCCAAAAAAGGAAACCCACGGCACAGGCCCCTAAAGGGCCTACCATGCATCCAACTGTCGCATGCTCATTCTATCTAACTTATAAGGAAATTCTAGATTACGGAAACGTCCTTGAAGAGACGAATCCACCTCCCGAGAAGCGAGAGATTTCGGTCCATTATGCTAGCTTGGATGATGTGTTGGTGTAGAAATGAGATGATCATCGATGATGCATTAGCATATGCAGTAGCTACTGAGATCATGTTGAGTGATGACATTGAGCCCCATTCCGTTGATGAATGTCAACGTAGAACTGATTGGTCAATTGGAAACAAGTAATCCAAGTTGAACTCGATTCGCTTGCGAAACGTAAGGTGTTTGAACCTATAACTCCTACTTCTCCACATGTGCCCGTTGGCTACAAGTGGGTTTTCATTCGGAAACGCAATGAGAATAATGAAATTGTGCGTTACAACGCTTGTCTTGTTGCGTAAGGCTTCTCACAATGCCCCGGGATTGACTATGATGAAACTTATTCACCCGTTATGGATGTGATTACTTTTCGCTAACTAAGGATGCAACTGATGGACGTAGTAATTGCATATGTCTATAAGGATCTTGATATGAAAATTTATATGAAAGTTCCCAAAGGATGTACGTTGACTGGATTACCAAACCTCAAAACACGCTCTCAATTCAGCTGAGGTGTTCACTTTATGATTTGAAGCAATCCAGAAGAATGTGGTATAACCATCTAAGTGAGTATTTAACTAGTCAGAGATATGTGAACAATGAACTATGCCTTTATGTGTTCATTAAGAAGTCACATTCCGGCTTTGCGATGGTTGTAGTTTATGTCGATGACATAAATCTCATCGGAACTTCTAAAGATCTTGAGAGAACTGCCGCACACCTTAAGTCGGAATTTGAGATGAAAGATCTAGGAAAGACTCGATATTATTCGGCGTCGAGATAGAGCACCATTCGGATGGAATCTTAGTACATCAATCGAACTACACCTAGAAGGGGTTGTGCCATTTTAACGAGGATAAAGTGAAGACTTCGACTGCTCATATGGTCATTCGATCACTAGATGCAAAACAAGATCCCTTCCGTCCGAATGAGGATGATGAAGAGATTTTGGATCCTGAAGTTCCTTATCTAAGTGCGATATGCGCTTTATTGTACTTAGCTCAATGTACTAGACCCGACATCTCCTTTGGTATTAATCTTTTGGTAAGATAAAGTAATAAACCAACAGGTTGATACTGGACTGGTGTTAAAGACATCTTCTATTACCTTAAGGGTACCACGAATTTGGGCTTGTTCTATCCATACGGATTATCGAGTTATGCCGCACCCCCCTTATCTAGAGTCGATTATTGCCCTATTGGTTATGCCGACACAAGATACTTATATGATTCGCATAAGGTGCATTCTCAAACAGGTTACGTCTTTACCGTTGGAGGCACCGCAACTCTTGGAGGTCAACTAAACAAACCTTAGTTACCACTTCGTCTAACCATGCTGAAATTCTCGCCTTACACAAAGCAACTCAGGAATGCTTTTGGTTGAGAGCAGTTGTGGGCCATATTCGAAGCTCTTGCAATCTTTACCTCGTCCTTGACGTCCCGACGACGATCTATGAAGACAACGCAGCATGCATCAAACAACTTAAGAAGGGTTCCATCAAAGGAGACAACACCAAACACATTGCACCGAAGTTTTTATTCTCACATCAACAACAAGAGCATCAGAAGATTGAAGTCACGCAAATCCATTCACAAGACAATCTAGCTGACCTTTTCACCAAATCACCACTGAAGGCGACGTTTCAGAAGCTTGTTCAAGGATTAGGTATGCGTAAACTTTCTGAGTTGTAACATTGTTAGTTTTCTTTGGAATTATGTCGAACTCATGGGGAGTATCCTGAAGTATCCTTGCTTGATCTTAATGTACTCTTTTTTCCTATGATCAGGAGCATTTTTCCCATTGGGTTTTGCTACCTAACGAGGTTTTGACGATGCACCCATCTTGGGTTGATCATATCCCTGATGACGTCTCGTAAACGTTTCATTTGACTTTGCATTTCTCATGCATTTTTCCTTAGTTGATGGATTTTGTCCCTACTTGGGTTTTACCATAGTCATTAGGTTTTTGTGAGACTAAGTTCCTTATGCAAGTTCTTACTTTACTTTGAGACTAGCGTGTTCTCAGAATCAGTGCCGACGAGTCGACTTCCTTAACTCTACATGATGTTGAATCTACTTGACTATTTACACACTCAAGGGGAGTGTTATAAACTTCTTATTTAAATGTGATTGTGCAAATCCTAGATTAGATTTGAAACTAGTTATTCTTCTCGATTATGATTTGTATTTCTTGGAGGAGAAATATTATAACCTCTCTTATTACTATAAATAAAAGTACAAGGAATAACATATGATCTACACAACTCTACAAACACATCTCTTTCTCTATATTTTCTCGATGCTGTCGGCCCTCTATTCCCTTGTCAATTAAATATAGGCCACAACATTATTATTATTATTATTTCTTGTTTCAGTGTTTTCCTTTATTGTTATTGATTAATTAATTAAAATAGGTATTTAATTATTTTATGACTTCTCTTTTACTGTCCAAAGTTCTCTTTCAATTCACACAAAGCACAGAAGAACCAAAACCAAGAGAACACAAAACAAAAGCAAAGTTCCAATCTTTCACATCTTCTAAACCTGTCTGACAACAACTCTAGATTTTCCAGCACCAATCTGTTTGTTTCCCAAGAAAATTTAACCCAAAATGGGAAACAGCGGAAGCAGAACAAACGGCGGCCGCCGGAGACATGGGTCCCGCCAAAACCGCTACGTATTCGCAGCGGCGACTCCGTACCCGTCTCAGTACCCCAACCCCAACCCGCCCCAGTACTACCAGTACCAAGGTTACTACCCGCAGCAGCCCATGCCCTTGCCTCTGCCCGCTCCGTACGATCAGCACCACCGCGTCCCCCATCCCCACATGGACCCGGCCCATCTGTTGAGAGAACTTGTCCCATTAGCCTGGACAGAAGGAATACTGCACGTGGGTACAATATTCCTTGTCAGCAGACTACCACATGGTTTCGACTCCTGTGCTCCGATGTGTTGCAGCATGGGCAGCAAGCACGCCACCTTTACCACATTTGTTTATTGCATGCATTTGTTTAAATGCATGCGTGTGTGTAAGATGTATATAAAACAAACTGCCATTACAGCAGTCATGAAACACACAACCAAATATTAAACTTAATATGGTATCAGAGCACATATAATCCTTTGCTCTGCTCTGCCTTCACTCTTCCGCTGCTATACTGTGTACAGCCACAACCTGCTGCAAGCTGCACACTCGCTGCACACTCACTGCAAGCTGCATACTCGCTGCCTTGCCAAGCTACTACACAGCCATCATCGCTGCACACTCACTGCAAGCTGCACACTCGCTGCACACTCACTGCAAGCTGCATACTCTCTGCCTTGCCAAGCTACTACATAGCCATCGTCGTTGCTCTACCTGCTAGCCATTAAGCACTGCCGCAGAGCACTGCCACTGAGCACAGCCATTAAGCACAGCCGCAGAGCACTGCCAAGCACAGCCACTGCCTGCCGACATGGCAACTGACTCTTCCAGCAAACACACCATGGCTCTCACTTCCGAGCAATATCACAACCTGCTTGCACTCCTTGATAAGAGTCAATCCAACTCCACATCTAATCATGTCGGTACCACCTCTACTATGAATAATTTGTCAGATAGAGTTTTTTGTGCTTCTGCTCTCAATAAGGGAAGAAACTGGATTTTCGATACAGGCGCCACAGACCACATGGTCTGCTCACCAAGCTTAATGACCACAAGTGTTCCGGTATACAATCGACAAGTGCACTTACCCAATCATGCACTTGCTGATGTCACACACATTGGCACAGTTCATCTCTCGAATGATCTCATCCTTCACAACGTGCTTTGTGTTCCATCATTTAAACTGAATTTAATTTCTGTCAGCAAACTCACTAATACCTCATCTTGCTTTGTCATCTTCACTGATAAAATGTGTCTACTTCAGGGCCAACGATCGGGGAAGATGATTGGGACGGGAACTGAACGAGAAGGACTCTACTACCTTGATAATGTGATGAAAACCAGGTGCAATTCAGCGTCAATTGTTGCCTCTTCTTCTTCTCAGCTTTGGCATCAACGCCTTGGCCATCTTTCCAACACGACCTTACGGCATCTCTCTACTTGCATTAAAAATTTGAATTTTTGTAGCATTGATGATTGTTTGATCTGTCCATTAGCCAAACAAACACGTGCTCCTTTTCCTTTGAGTTCTATCACCACAAAGGCTCCTTTTGAGTTAATTCATGTTGACATTTGGGGAGGTTACCATGTTCCCACTATCACAGGGGCACAATATTTCTTAACTATTGTGGATGATTTCTCAAGATGCACATGGGTTTATTTAATGAATCACAAATCAGATGCACGATCTTACCTCATCACTTTCATCCACCTTGTTGAAACACAATTTTCCACACGAGTCAAGGTTCTTCGTAGTGATAACGGTCCAGAATTTTTTATGACCCAATTTTTTTCAGATAAGGGGATTCTCCATCAAACAAGTTGTGTCTCTACTCCCCAACAAAACGGGGTAGGAGAGCGCAAACACCGCCACTTACTCAATGTTGCTAGAGCCTTACTTTTTCAATCTCATCTTCCTAAGAAATTTTGGGGTGACGCAATCCTCACTGCCACTTATCTCATAAATAGGACTCCCACTCCTCTTCTTCAAGGCAAATCACCCTATGAAATACTTCACCACAAACAGCCAGCGTATGCACATTTGCGAGTGTTTGGTTGCTTATGTTTTTCTTCCACCCACCACCATCGTCCCACAAAATTTGATGCAAGAGCCACACGGTGTCTTTTTCTTGGGTATCCATATGGCACAAAGGGATATCGAGTTTACGACCTTCACACGGGTAAAATCTTTATCTCCCGTGATGTTATTTTCCATGAACATGTGTTCCCTTTTTCATCTTCTGCTGCAGTTTCACCACTTGTGTTTCCACATACTCAAGATACTGCCTGTGATGATCCCATCATTCATCCGTCCATTCTACTGGAGCAGGATTCCGTCGATCCATCCTCTTCTTCGCCGGTGAGTCCTGTTTCGGTTTCATCTCCTTTTCTTTCCACATCACCACCTCGTCTTAAACGACCCACTCATGCACCTGGTTATCTTCAACAATATCACATCGACATCAACCTCCCTTCTCGGTCTGTCCCTTCATCTCACTCGGCGTTGACCAAAGTACCAGGTACTCCTTACCCTTTGTCTGATGTCCTCACATACGATCGTTTATCTGCTCGACATCGTGCTTTCACCACTTCCATTTCAGCTGCCATAGCACCCAGCTCATTCTCACAGGCTATACGCGACCCTCACTGGCGTTTAGCCATGGAAGAAGAACTGGCAGCCCTTGCTGCGAATAGGACATGGTCTCTGCACCCATTGCCCCCTGGCAAGAAGCCGGTTGGATGTAAGTGGGTTTACAAAATCAAATTTCGATCCGATGGATCCATTGAGAGATATAAAGCACGCTTGGTTGCCAAAGATTATAGCCAAATTGAAGGCTTAGACTATCGAGAGACCTTTGCTCCGGTTGCAAAATTGACTACAGTTCGTCTACTCCTTGCTGTTGCCTCGGCCCAACAATGGCACCTCCACCAGCTTGATGTTAATAACGCTTTCCTCCATGGTGATCTTGAAGAAGATGTCTACATGTCCTTGCCTCCTGGTTTCGGACGAAAGGGGGAGACACGAGTTTGTAAACTTCATAAATCTTTGTATGGGCTTAAGCAAGCCTCTCGTCAATGGTTTATCAAACTCTCTTGTGCTCTTAGAAAGGCCGGTTATCAACAATCCAAGGCAGATTATTCATTGTTCGTCCGAAACCATGATGGTAAATTCACTGCCCTCCTTGTCTATGTTGATGATATTATCTTGGCAGGAAATAACATACAAGCAATTGAAGATACCAAGTCTTTTCTTATGAAGCAATTCAAGTTGAAAGACCTTGGCCAATTAAAATATTTCTTGGGCATTGAAATTGCCCGCTCTAGCAAGGGGATCACCCTCTCACAGCGAAAATATGCCCTTGAAATACTTGAAGATGCAGGTCATCTTGGCGCAAAACCAGCCACCTCTCCTATGGAGCAAAACTTATCACTCAGAAAGGACGAAGGACAATGGGTTACTGATCCTTCCTCTTATCGACGACTTGTTGGGAGACTAATCTACCTGACAATCACGCGCCCTGATTTGGTGTATGCTGTCCACATTCTTAGTCAATTTATGGAGAAGCCTCGAACTCCACACTTGGAGGCAGCCCAGCGAGTCTTACGATACGTTAAGCACACACCAGGGCAAGGTATTCCTTTCTGCAAGAAGTCCAATTCAATTGAATGCCTTTTGTGATGCGGATTGGGCCAGATGTCGAGACACACGACGTTCTACCACCGGATACTGTGTATTTCTTGGAGAATCCTTGATCTCCTGGAAAAGCAAGAAACAAAATACTGTTGTCACGTTCTAGTGCAGAGGCGGAGTATCGTTCAATGGCAGCAACTTGTTGTGAAGTCACTTGGTTGAAATCTGTTCTACAAGACTTGGGTATCAAACATAAACGTCCAGTCAAGTTATATTGTGATAATCAAGCGGCACTTCACATCGCTTCGAATCCGGTCTTTCACGAAAGAACCAAACACATAGAAATTGACTGCCATCTTGTACGAGAAAGGGTTCAAAGTGGAATGATCGAGACATCTCACATCTCAACCATGAAACAACCAGCCGACATCTTCACAAAGCCACTGAGCTTGTACCAGTTTACGACTTTGCTTTGCAAGTTAGGAATAATCAACATCCATTCCAAACTTGAGGGGGAGTGTTGAGAGAACTTGTCCCACTAGCCTGGACAGAAGGAATACTGCACGTGGGTACAATATTCCTTGTCAGCAGACTACCACATGGTTTCGACTCCTGTGCTCCGATGTGTTGCAGCATGGGCAGCAAGCACGCCACCTTTACCACATTTGTTTATTGCATGCGTGTGTGTAAGATGTATATAAAACAAACTGCCATTACAGCAGTCATGAAACACACAACCAAATATTAAACTTAATACCATCCGAATTGGGCTGGCGGGCGGTACCGGTGCGGCCCGGTGATGCAGGCTCCGACGCCATACGTGGAGCACCAGAAGGCAGTAACTATAAGGAACGATGTGAATCTGAAGAAGGAGACTCTGAAGGTCGAGCCCGATGAGGAAAACCCTGGAAGCTTTCTCCTGTCCTTTGCTTTTGATGCCACTGTTGCTGGGAGGTAAAATTTCAAGCTTAAAGCTTTTATGTCGAACTTTGTTTCCTAACTTCTGATTTGTTACAGTATAAACTGCCTAATTGTGGTTGATATTTGCTTTTATGTGGGATTAGCTTAAATGGGCTTGCTGTTTTTGGTTTGGTTGATTCAATTTTGGTGTGTTAGGTTGAACTGGTGGACTAGTGGGATGTGGAAATTGAATTTGTGGGAGTTATATTGTTGGAAAAGAAAGAGTTCTTTGCTAAATTGGTAATCAGTTTGATAGTGGGTTGTAAATACTGAAAGAATGAGAAACAATTTTACCAGAGTCAAAGTTTTATTGAAAAGTATTCTGCGGTACTTGCCATACCGAAGTGATTGTCATGATATTTGATCCGGTTATAATGCCGATGGGTAATGGCTGCATCTAAGGATGGATGTGTGGGACTACAATAGGTTAACATGATCGATAGATGATCTGTGGTTTACCGTAGATAACTTTGTTTTTTTTTATGGTTATTGTTAAATCTGAAAACTTGAGCCCTTAGGATGTTACCAAATGTCTGTTCTAATACTCTCTCTAACAGGTGACCCTTTTACCACCGGTAAAGAGCCAAATATTTGAGATTCTAACTGTTATTACTTGTTAATCGGATTTGAACTTTATCTTATCTTATGACAAGATACATCTACTTGGTGTAAGTAACTTTTTGAAACTGTGGAAAACCATGATTTCACAATGATTTCTTTCTTTTTTTTTTGTCTGTGCTCTGTACTGTTTGATACAAAATCAGTCATGACGTACAAGGATTTTCTTACTGCTAGAGAGGACTCAGAAAGAGGAAACGAGAAGCTGCTTGGGAACCTTACAAAAGTGAAGGGGCACAAGTTTTGAGACGATAGAGAGGGTTAAGAGCATAGATAGTGTACATTGATCAGTGAGGGGTGTATCCTAAAAATGACAATTTAGGAAATATAAGATACTGTGAGGACCTTAGACTCTTTATGTCCATTTGATCATTCAGATTGGTATGTTCTTTTTGTAGTTAAATTCGGCAGTACAAAGTATTTCCCTTGGCTGAGATGCACACAGAATGATATTTTATGCATCACATATCATACTCAAGCAGCATGCTGTGATGGCATTTTTCATGTAGAATTATAGGAGGGCATGGCTGTAAATGCTAAAATTGTCTCTCAAAGGCACAAAGTTCCTCATATTTTCATATGCAATTTAGTATTATTCGATCATCAGATTTTTTTTTTTTTTTTTTTTTTTTTTTTAAAGTTTTAATATATAGCTTTGTGAAACAGCATCACCATTATCTTCTTTGCGAAAGAAGGCGAGGCCTGTAATCTGACACCAATGAAATTTAACCTTCATCCACCTGTGACAATACATTTTGAACAAGGTCTGGGCCAGAAGTTCAGGCAGCCCCCTGGAACTGGAATTAACTTCTCAATGTTTGAGGATACAGAGTTACTGAAAGTAGCTGAGTTGGATATCTATCCTATAGCTGTGAAGGCTGAGGCATCCCCTCCTGCCCATGATGGATCAGAGGGAAGCCCTTTGTCTGTAACAACAAACTCCCAGATAACTCAAGCTGTATTTGAAAGGGAGAAAGGTGAATTCCAAGTTAGGGTTGCCAAGCAGATTCTTTGGGTGAAGGGGATGAGGTGTGAACTACAGGAGATATATGGCATTGGTAATTCAGTTGAAGGTGACGTGGACGGGAATGACCCAGGGAAAGAATGTGTAATTTGCCTGTCTGAACCACAGGATACAACTGTTCTTCCATGCAGACACATGGTAATCATACTTTGTTCTTTTGCTTTTCAAATTTTGTCATAGTTGCTAGTGGAAAAAGCTGAGCTTAATCTAGAGAAAATTTTCTGATTGGTGAGACGTAGTTTGTCGCCAAAAAAAAGAAGATGGTAACCGAAATTTATGAAATGACAAAAGGAAAAAGGGAAGTCTTATAAAGAGAAGCTGCTTTATTTGGGTTCGAAGTTCCTTCCAATTATTTTGTAGATTTTATAGGGTTACATTAACTTGCGTCCGTCCAGTTATCACTTTTGCAAACTAATCTACTTTTGAATCAACCCGAGTGTGATTTATGTTGGATTTTCGTCTTGACTGATTTTTGGTTGGATTTCTTTTCTTGCTGCAGTGCATGTGCAATGGGTGTGCCAAGGTCTTGAGATTCCAAACAAACCGCTGCCCTATTTGCCGACAACCGGTTGAGAGGCTTTTGGAGATAAAGGTCAACGATGGCCCTGAGGAATGAGAGGATGTGTTCTGCCACTAGCATTCTGTAAGTTAAAGGCACCCCACACCCACGGCGCCCGGCCCTGCCTTTTTTCTCCTCTTTCCTTCTGCACTTCCGTTTTCCATCCTGTTTTCAATGAATCAAAAAGGCAAATTATATGTTGTATGATGTGTAACATGCTGTGTTGCACCAGAGATACGTAACGATGCTCTTTACACGCAATAGTGTTATACATCTTCTACATTTGGCTTGGTTGTAGGGTATATACAATTTGCTTCTACACTGCTGTAATTATTTGTTTCAAGAAAGATTAATGTAAATAATCAGGTATTTTGCCATGAATTTTATGTATTTGGGCAGAGAGATTTAAGTACGTTTATGCTATAGTTTTTCCTCTGTTTCTCTGGGGGCAGAATGCAGATGGTAAGTGAAGTTTGTGCTTTGAGGAGTAATTTTTGCATACGTGTTGGCGGCCCCCTCACAAGAGTCAGACCAACACGAGGCCACGTGTAGGCCTCACCCCTGTGAGAAAACTGTCATGCAGCACCCGTACACTAGAATATCACCTCTCTACGGGATTATTAGATGGACTTGGTCGCTTGTGCTTTCTTTGTAGAAGAATGGGAGCAATGGTCCTTGACCAAAAATTCATGAGTATTAGTCAACTTGTCACAATGTGGGGCAATAGTCATTTAGGTAACTCCGTTATAACTTTTGCTCCTTATTTGCTTCCCTTTTAAACACTTTATTTTGGATGGAAGTTCTTATATTCTTGCATAGGAAGACCATTGTTAATATTCTGACACATTCTTTAACCAACAGCCTAACTAAATGAGGTTGTTTGGCCACTCTAACACCCTAGTTAAATGAGACTTTTGGTTACTTTTAACAAAAAAAATTGGAGAAAAATCAAGGTCCAACATGCTAGCTAAATGATTAGTCTTAATTTTGTGAATAGTAAACTAGCTTTTTATTTTTTATTTTTTATTTTTTTTAACACAAATGATATTATCTACACTTAAGAGGATGGGGTAGGCTTAGCCTCAGAATAGGTTAGCAATAATGTGGTTCAAATTCGCCTTTGGCAAGAATCGAACCTAAGACCTCTCACTTACAAGTGAAGAGAAATATCATTAGACCGTAGTACTAAGTTGCGTAAACTAGCTAAATTTAGATAGGAGAGTCAAATTTTTGCTAAACGTAAAAATTATAACATTGCATTGTTTGTGAGCTTCAAAAGAAGAAAAAGGGCTTGGACTGTAAAGTTTAGGAAAAAAATAATACTAAAATATTTTTACTAAAACTAAAATAACTAGCATTATTGGAAGTGGTGGCCAGCTAAATTAGCTTTTGAGTTATTTGGCTAGCTACTAATAATAAGAATTTAAGTAACATTGTTGGAGATGCTTAACAAACTAAAGTTTAGAAGAGACAAATGCTCATTTTTCTTCTGTTTGCGATGTACATGAAATGTTCACTTTGTTTAATTTACTCGTTTGCCGCAAGTGAATGGATAGTTGAAAGAAACACCTTGAATAGTTGGATGTCAATTCAGCTAGACTATTATTCAATTAGACAAAAAAACTTCAATAAAGTTTCACAATTAACTATTTTTGCGGGGCAAAGGCAAAGCTAAATAATTGCAAGTAATAAAACAATTTCGAGATGCCCCATCACTTTCATTATTTTATTTCGATCACAATAATGTTTTTAATCAAGAGATGTAATATCTACATACCTCTTTTTACTTCTCACACATTCTTTGTTAACTTTTGTTCTTTGATCTTCTTCAATTCATTCGATTTAACGTCAAAAATTGAGAGAGGTTTGTGAAAAGTAAAAATGAATGTGTAGATAGCATACCCCTTAATCAAATCAAAGGTGTCGCTGTCTTCTTCAGATCGCCTCAAAGTCTGCATCTCAACAACTGTCTGTGATTGGTTTCCAAAAGCTCTCAAGCCGCTCACATGTTCAATTATTCGGTAGTTGTGAGCTCATATTCATTCATTTCCTTACCCATGATTCGGACGTTCCATCCTTTTCAAACAAACCGAACTAATTCCCATTTCAGGCATAAAAAAAAGGAGCCCGTCCTGAAATAGATTTAACACACGTACATTTATTATAACTCTATAAAATTGGGTAAATTACACAAAATTATCTCAACTATAGGTTGAACCACAATCTCATACCTCATGTTTTAAAAATTACACTGTCATACATTATCTTACGAATTTGTTGCAATGTTAGACCTTCATTAATTTTTCTAATAATTTTTCTGTTAAATGTTGACGTGATTACAGACGGAGCCCACTTCCTAGCCCAATTGGATTAAAAATTGTGGGATCCACCCCTACAAATCCTTCCCCACCTGTCTCCCCAACCTTCCTCCAGCACCCCTTCTCTCTCCTCTCCCTCTCCTCTCTCTGGGCAATGTAAAATGATAGAACAAGAAGCCTAATCCATGTGGATATTTCTCCTTCTACCACAATTTCTTCCCCCATCCCTCTCTCTCTCTCTCTCTAAAATCCTTCTCTGCAACCTGCAATCTGCCATGTCTTCCTAGAATCCTACTCCTCCGTTGACAACGACCACTATAATCGCCTCCCCGACTCCCTCCTCCTCTTCATCTTCAACAGATCGACGATATCAAGGCCCTCTCCGTCGATGATCCGGATTCCTCTGCCACCGACAACAATAGCCTCGACCAATCTGGCATCACCCACTCAACACTCACCGGATCGAGCTTCCCAGAGGCAAGATTGGCATTGACGCCGAAATTATGCTTAGGTGGAGGGCCAATTTCAGCTCCACCTTAGACAACTGTGTCATCCTCGGCGCCTCCTTCGTCATCCACTAGGGACCCACCAAAGCATCGCTCTTTTCAAAAACCGGGTCCGATAGGTTGTACGCCACCAACAACGTCGTCGTGGCGAACGACGTTGCACATGAACAGAGACCAACTTGGTTTTGACGGATGCGGACGGGTAGGGTGTTGTACATGAACAGGACCAGCTCGAAGAGCTGCAGGTGAAGCCATCGTCGGCCTCCTTGGCATCGGAAAGGGTGATTGGCAAGTGAGGGCGGCGATGGGGAAGTAGGTTCTGGTTTTGGTGGTGAAGGAGGGTTGGGGGAGACTAATTTTGGTGGTGAAGGAAGGTTGGGGGAGATAGATTATGGGATACGTGTGGGGAAGAAGGGTAAAATATTTTAATGATTTTATTTTTAATTTTTTGATATTTAATTATTTTTTAATTCAGTTAGGGTAGGGAATGGGTCTCACCTCAAGCCACGTAAGTATTTAACAGAGAAATTAACAAAAAAACTGACAGAGATCTGACATTGTAACAAATTCGTAAGATGAGGTATAAAATTGTAATCTTTAAAAATGAAGTATAAGATTGTGGTTTGAGTCATAATTGAGGTAGTTTTATGTAATTTACCTTTTAAAATTTAAAATATAAACTCGTCATTCATGATAATTTAAATGAATTAATAACATTGCCTGACGGATGCAACAGACAAAAGTCTCGCTCGTCTCGTACCCACCAAAACCTCTAAGAGACCTTGACGTGAGGGAAGCAATAAACCATTCATCCGTGGGGTTAAAAGATGCTGCACAAGAGATCGACGTGTAAAGCAGGGTCATCAATCTTCTATAATTAAGTTTAATAAAAGATTAAGCTTCCATGGACCACTCTAATAAGCATAATTAAACGAGTTTCAACGAAAAAGAACCGAAAGCAAACAGAGAAACACAAATGAAACATAAGATTAATAAGTTACTAAGCTGGAAAGCTCAAGTGTCCAACCAGCCATAAGGCAACAACTTGGATGTTTATCATCATCCTACATAACATAAACGCACCACACAAGATAATTATGGTTGTTTTATTTAGCCTAAGTGCCCAACCATAAAAGCAACATGATAGAAACAAGATGATCACAACATCACATCATGATCAACCAACAGATAGGAGAACATCACCGGGGTTGCCATCTCCCCACCACTGATGGACAAACACGCCACTGCTGCGGAGGCTTCCGAAGATGTCCATGCAGTCCACCGGCATTGCACCTCCAGCATCTACTTGGCCTGAGCAGTGAAGAAACAGCTCGTCTACAAAGCATATGGCTCCACTTTCAAACAGTTCCGTGAGGAACTTCAGTTCTGCACTGCCTGCATTCATCTTGAGCACCATGAAATCTGCAAACCCCACTGTTTCTTTGAACCAAACGAGGAAATCAAACCCTTCATCTCCGACATATGGATCTGTGTCTCCATCGATTGTAACATTGACTTTTGGCTTGATTCCGGCCAGCCCTGGATGATAAACAAAGGTGATTCCCGGCTTTTTGACGTAGGATAACAGAACAGAAGTGTTATGGTCAACAAAATAAACATTGAAATCTTTGTGTTCGATGGGATAAGAAGGCAGGAACCAATTTGTAACATTTGAGTTCAGATGCTGTGCTGCCCCAATATCAATATAGACCAAACGCCTCTTTGAGGAAAGATCAACAAAATTAGGCAAATAGGCGAACCTCTTTCCATACTCCACTGGTTTTTCCTTCACCAGAGGCTCCATTTTCCCAATGAGAGGTCGATTGTTTGTGAGGGATCGGCAGTCAGCTGGAAGGCGATACTGCTCAAAGAGACCAGCATTGTCATAATTTTTCTTGAACACAACCAGTGTGAAGTTATTGACGTAATTAACGTACACAACACTGGAACTTTTCAGCAGTGAAGAAATTGGGGTAGCAGACCTAATCAAGCTATTTGGGGAGGAAACACTACTACCCACAAGCATAGCCCCAATTCCACCGGGGCTAAGAACACGCTCGATCTCAAGCACTAGTAGCGCAGGGACAGAAACCTTATCGAGATCCCTGGAAAGCACAAAATCAAAGGACTTGTCCACATAGTCAATTTCATACACAAACTGTTTGTGCTTGAGCGAGAAGAACCGGTGTTTGTAAACACCACGAGCATTGGGAAATCCCAAAGCTTGCAATGCCAGCATGGCTGAGGCGGAATCTTCTCCTATAGAGAGAGCTTTTGTACCGTATTTCAATAGCTTCTGACCCATGAGCTCTCTGACCACACTGACAGTCAAATTCACATCCCGCTTGCACTGCTCCGAATCGTAAGACCCCCAGAAGGGGTTCAGGAACCGACTCTGGAAGTTGAACTTCTCCGGGGTCAATTCGACAGGGGCGATGCGGCCCAGTTCGGCGGCGCAGTCGCCGGAGTTCACAAAAGTGAACATTGTCATGTAGGTCCCGGACAAAATGTGGATCAATGGTATGATCGACATGGCCGCGGCGATCAAGAATGCCCGGAGAAACACGCGCCGGGCCAAAGACCCATGAAGGATCTGCATTCTCACGCCCTTCAAATCCATGATTTTCTTCGTTTCGACTATTCGGGCCTGAATCATATCGCGTTTAAGCAATTGGGTTTCGTTGTTTCCGATCAAATCCGAGTTGTTTAATCAAAAAAGTTGCGAGCTTTGTAACTTTGTAAAATCAATTACAGATTTCGAGAGAGGGAAAGAGCCAAAGGGAGAAAGAGAGAGTAGATTAGCGAGTGCAAAACCTGGAGGAGGTGTGATTCCCACCCACGAGGAGCACTATCGATTTTTGAATTACTAGCAACACCCTATTCCAAATTTTCGCCGGCTTCGCTTCGAACCAGACGACCCGACCCATGTTTACGCTCCGATTGCGAATCTACATTACATGTTGGACGGGAGCGGCACCAATTTTGATTCGTTTGGGGTGGATCCGCAGAACAGAAACCCTAATTTGAAAATTGGGGATCAGGGATTTCTGGGAGCTTTTTCAGAGTGAAGTGATTCGGCAGAGGGTGTGGACTGCGGATCTTGTTTTAGCATATAAAAGACTCCTAGGCTACTACTGCTAGTGTCGTGGCAGGGATTTGACTAGGCCACCGACGGTGTTGGTAACACGTGCCGACACCCGAAGCCTCTCAGCTCGAACTCAGTTTTACCGCGAGTCCCAACCGTAAAAAGCGCCAAGGGTTTGGAATTGTCGGAACGGCTAGTGACACAGTGACGCAGGTGGACCGCTACTTAGCGTTACGTTCTAGTGGAATTTCTTTTCATTTGTAAATGATTGGTTTTAGGTTTGATTTTCGTCAAAAACGAATTTGAATTACATTATTATAGCAAGCTCATTATAAAATAGGTTCTTAGTGTAATTCTATCATTTATTTAAAAAGAAAAATCAATTGTGGGTCTATGTGGGACCCACAAGTAGATCGACAGCTCATTTTCTGTCGATTAGGGAGAACGAGGATCCTCTCCAGATCCTCTTTGTGAAGATCCCGAAGATCCTTACATCGTGTCTGTTTATCCTACATTATGCTGTCATAAATTATTTTTAATTTTTTAATTTAAATTAAATATAAACAATACTTGACGAAAGTTAACTGCATGATATATAATAAACAAATATAATATAAAAATTTTCGGAATTCTTACAAAGAGAATCAGAGAAGATCTTCACAAATAGGATCCGAAGATATTCTCATTCGATTAGGGATCTAAGTGGTAGGCAAGGATATAGTTAAAAAAGGATAACGGATGAGTTGGGCATTACTATGGATCTGACAAAGAGTGTGGTCATGTCTGGCATCGGTTGCGTTAATGCACATGAATGAATGATCTTGGGACTAGCAAGACGTGGTTTTGGTGATGTTTTCACGGACTTGGATTGTCTGCCCTACTAGTTGTGGTGCCCTTTCATGCTCTCATATTTTATGCGATCACGGTTAAACCACGTCAATATTTTATATTTTTATTATTTTTTGTCTTATTATCTTATTAAAAAATTAATATAAAATATTGACGTGGTTTAATCGTGACCGCACAAAATAGGAGGGCATGGAAGGGCACCATAACTAAGAGGGCAAACAATCCAAGTCCTGTTTTCACGGCAGATAGATGTGATCGAACCGTTGCTGTCACGCAGCTGGATCGATTGGTTTGGTTATATGAAGATGATGAGATTCAGTCCGACTGGGTCCGAGAGTAGTATGCCAGCAGCGGGTCCTGTGATAATTTGTGTGATTTGGACGTGGAAGCTCTACAGTCTTTCTGCTTTTCCGTTACATAAAAGTTGGCCTTTAACCATCATTGGGCAAAGTGATTTATGCTTGGATGTGGTTTCTGATTTGTAGTCAGATTTGGAGAAAAATTGAACTAAGCAAGAATAAAAATAAGACTTAAGGCGGGTACGTTAAATTAAGATTTTAAAATATTTATAAAAAAATTTAGAATTAACGTTTAGTTAAAATTTTAAAAAACTTTGTAAACTAGTGTGGGCACAATAAGATTTAACAGAATTTAAAAATGTATTCAAGTGTAATTGCAATGAAAATTAGATTAACCAAAATCAACCCAATTGAGTTCAAATTTTAATGTTCGCAAGTGTACGTGTTGATCCTAAAAACTATCAAGCCTACGTAACGCGCAGGCCGAGTAATTAATAAGTTAACTATGTCATTTGGTTATGTGCAGGGCGTGCCAACTCGACTGACGAGCTTGGCCGATGAGTAAAATGAGTTGATGTGGCGTTGAGCGCGTTGCTGACTTCTCGATCTTACGACTGCGGCCGAGGAAGGAACATGTCTCGGCCTTCAGGTTCTAGAGCCTAAAGACAAGGTTGCTAGTTTTGCAAAGTTCACAAATCGTCGGCGCCAGATTCAGTCACAATGATTATATTCGTAAGAGTATAAGCACGCCAAATCGACACTAAACTATATGGGCACAAGTACTCAAAGCAAATGTGTGTCTTAATCGTAAATGTAGTTCGGCCGTCAAAATGCGGAACTCTAAATCCTACTTGTGAGTATCCAATCATAAAACAACTCGGCGTTCAAAGTGCCGAGCCTAGTAATCTGTAACACCCCATTTCGCCGAGAATGCTGATGAGATGACCTCTACCAACAAGGATTCGAAAACCCTTGTCGATCAAGACTTAGATAGGTAATCAGTCGCCCGAGACGTAGTGCTGTTTATCTAAACTGAAGGTACTCTACAATCGGCTGATTCTACGGCAACAGTGTTGTTTATCCAAACTGAAGATGTTCGTCGGTTGCCTTCATAGTGCTGTTTATCCAAATTGAAGATGTGTTGGCAGAAAGGAAAATAAAAATCTCAAGGTGTTTGAGAGGTTTCGCGTAGAGCGAAAGTTTGCGCATGGCAGTTTGTGTGTTGAATTGGAGGGGGCCAGAATGATGCACCCCCTTCGTATTTATAGCAACCAATCTCATCATGGCCGAACTAGAACTATACTCGGATTAGGATTCTTTATCCTAATCTAACCAAGTCTTGACCAATCCTACCTCCATTAGGACCTTGAACCAAACTCTTTATCCAGCCACATTCACTTCTCAAATCTCAGCATCCTCATTCCATTAAGACTTCTTATCATACTAGGACTCAGCCCATTCGCTCTTATCAGATCAACCCTTCTTGCAATATGACTCAGCCGATCTGACTGGGCGGCTCATGACAACTGGACAACCCATAGTATTTTTGGAAGAGTTTTGGACCGAACATAAACCTACACTTGGCCCAATAATATTATTTTGGGCCCAAACAATACAAATCGTAGTATAATATAGTATGCAAGCACAAGATCGTTCCAACTAAGATTGATATAATTATATTACCTAACCTAATTAAATTGCACTTGAATTGAAATTGAACGATTGATGATTGTAAATAAAAAGGAAATGAGTTTAAATAAGCGATGATGAAAAACAAAGAAAACAAATTATAATTCGATTGCGAAAGACATTAGAGCATCAAACTCACCATAAACAATCCAACTTAATTTTAATTATTAATGAGTAATCATTCAACTTGACGGTCTAGTTCCTCTAATTCATATATTATCCATGACATATAGATTACTACGTATACTTATATGTGCTAATAATCTATGGCTTCTAGATTACTAAATATATACAAATTCATTAACGATTTAGGAACTAACTAAGAGACCACATGAAACCTAGTGTATGACATCTACATCAAGGAATTCATGGTACTATTTGCAAGACACTAAAACCGAGTCAACAACATGACATTTGCATTAACTCGGATCACATAAACTCAATTCAACTCAAAAAGTGGTGGCCAATTACCAAGATTAAAATCAAGCTCATAAGCACAGTAAAATGATACTCAAAGTGAATGAAAATTCACTTATAATTAAACTGAGAAATTAAGAATTCATAGTTAGGCTACATCGTAGCCCTAGCGAGAAGAAATTAGTTCCGAAACATAAATGAAAATCGCACAGAATCCATTATCAAAATGAAAAATAAACTGAGTTTAGAGTTTCAATGCATATCCCACCCTTGTTTGTTCTTTTAATGCATATCCTACCCTTTTTTCCTACGCTAAAGCAATTTTATGGGACGGGACGGGACGAGGCCTAAAATTCGATGTTTCACTCCACTCGACTCCATGCTCTTCTGCATCCAGGAGACGATGCATTAACTTATAGGCGTATGAAAATAGTACAAGGATTATGTCTACAGAAGAATTGCAGGAGTGTTCATTGCCGAATGTTCAAATTGCAGCATTGACATTTACTTATTTTGGACAAAGAAAAATCTATATAAATATTTGTTTGCACTACACAATCATCATATAAAATCTCTAGGGAAGGTGACTTACCCCTATTACAAAAGTCCCTAAACTTCATCTGTTACATTGTGCATAAACTATTAAGTACTAAAAAAGAAGCAACTTCTTTCTGACTAAAGTAGAGGCCAGTAGGACCGCCGTTGGGAAGTAGCGCCAACCTGACGAGGTTTTCAGCACCTTCGTTGATGGTTAAGTTGCCAACATTGAAGGTTATATCTGTTTTGACGAATCCAGGGCTCACACAATTGATGCAGAAATTTGGATACTTCTTGGCCAGAATCCTAGTGTATCTGTTCAAGTCTGCCTTTGACACTGTGTAGGGTGGAAAAATAGGAAACCAGACTTCGGTGTCTACTTTTTTGAAGTCTTCTAAAAATCTAATCAACACAGAATCTATTTTCTCTTCTGTAAGTCTCTCGGCATCACTAAGTACCTCTTTAGCCCATCCATTTGGAAAATTCTGAAACAACATGAAAGACAGGAGAGTTTTGGTTTGATTTCAAAACACACAAAATTGCGTTTTACATATAAATAAACAGATGCATTCACGAAAATTTGATCATGTCAAGGGAGTGCCAAACAAAAACATATTTTTATGTTGATCATACCATTAGTTTACCAACACCGGAAGAAAAATTAACGATTCTTGGAGCGGCAAAAGTGCTTCAATCACTCTTTTGGTACCATAGTAGTTTGTGTTCAGGCATTGTTCCGCTACCCTGTAGTTTGGTATTGTCGATATTTCACTCCAGTTGATTTCTTCAGGCCTCTGCATCCACGAAAAAAAATAACCCTCTCGGAAGTTTTGCATCATCTTGGAAAATATTAGTATTTAGATTTATTTTAGTATTTGGATTTTGCTTGTTAGTTTAGGATTTGGGCTTAACTCATCCGAGTTAGTTCTTAGGTTTAGTTCTCTATAAATAGAGCTTGTAATTTAGTTTGAGAAATAAATCATTCACAATGTAGCCTTTAGAGTTTTGTAGCCGTTTCGACATTATCGTTTGTTTAATAATATTCTTATTTTGTTAGTCTTATTCGTTGCGCACTTTGATATTCAACTTGGTATCAGAGCGGGCTTGATCCTTAGGGTTCAATCCGTTCTCGTTGGTATCAATTTGTTTGTCTTGCTCGTCGTTTGTTTTAGATTGTTAGTTGGTATTGATTATTTGCAAGAAAAAAAGAAAAAAAAAGTTTTGTTTTTTGAAAAAAAAAAAGAATTTGGTGAATTTGTCTCACACCCAAATTTGAAAAAGCTCCACCGCACCAAGATTTCTGTATCGCTCCAGACCCACCGCCGCTGCTGTCTTATTAGGCACAGAATCTGCAGGTGCCCTTGTCCACATATCCATGTTCTGCAAACGTAGAAGTCATAAAAAAAAAAAAAAAAAAAAAAAAAAGAAGGAAGAAGGAAGAAAAAAAGGGGGGAAAAAAGAAGGAAAAAAAATGGTTGTTTTGACGTTTTGTGGTCCGCGTATTCTTGCATTGGGTATGGTAGCTTGAACTTGGAATGGAAATCGGCATTGGCATTGACATAGGAATTTGGAGTTTTACATCCACATCTACTTTGGCAAACCCATGTTGTGTACCGCCATGAGTTTGACGGGGGTTGTTTAGTTTAGGATTTGGGTTTTGCTTATATAAGAATGAAATTGCTCAAGGATTGTGTTCCCAGAAACTTGTATTCCATAAGATCCTAACCTCATCTCAAATGGGGAAAGGGAAGCGATTTTCACACTTCATTTTCTACCCCTGTACTCATTTCTTTCTTTTTTCCTAGCATTTGGATTGAATAAATGTAAGGAGAGTCGAGCGACAAAAAACAAGAGAGTAACGCTGGAGACAAGGAGAGCATGAAAATCGCTGCCTACAAGGAAACTGTTTTGCATCTGATAAATTTTTCGTCTAGATGTAACTTTTGCAGATTCATAGGGTTACTCTTGTCAATTAACGTTGTTTCAATCCCAAAAGGAAAAATCTGTTAAACTCTAAGGTTATGCAGTGATGTATTTTAGCAATTTTCATAGAAGAAATAAGTTTTTAGAGAGAGAGTGAAGAAGAAGAGGGAGTGCACAAAAATCTCAGAGAGAGCTAAGATTGCTCTCCTGAATATATTCCATTCTTTCCTCAACATTTACATGACTACTAGGGAGAGAGAAGCTACGAGAGCCTATGAGCTCATCATACCATTCATTACAAGACCCTATGAGATCTTGACACATGCTCACATCTGAGCCTAGCACAATATTATCTAATCTCAGCCCTTGATCACTAACAGATTTTATTTTACACTTGCTAAAGTAAGGAAAACATAGTTTAGACCTTAATCAGCTAACACTCCCTTCTAAGGTCTTAACTGAGATTACTCCAAGCTTGTCCCTCAGAGCACAGAATCTGTCTTTAGCAAGCGCTTTGGTGAAGATGTCTGCTAGTTGCTCCTCACTTTTGCAGTATTGCAGATCAATTGTTCCTTCCTGAATTGCATCTCTGATGAAATGAAACTTCCTCTTGATATGTTTAGACCTCTGATGGAATACCGGATTCTTTGACATTGCAATTGCTGATGTGTTATCACACATCAAAGGAGTTGGTTCGATCAATTCTTCACCAAAATCATGCAGCACAAATCTCAGCCATGTAGCTTTAGTGGTAGCTTCTGAGGCACTCATATATTCGGCTTCAGCAGTTGAGAGTGCAACACTCTGTTGCTTTACAGAGGCCCAAGAGAATGCACCACTGCCAAAACTGAAAGCATACCCTGATGTGGACTTCATGTCATCTTCATCTCCACTCCAATCGCTGTCACAGAATCCTATGAGTAGAGCTGCATTTCCTTTTTCATACTTAATTCCATAGTCAACAGTTCCTTGCACATATCTGAGGATCCTCTTTGCAGTGCCAAGATGTTTGACGGAAGGACAGTGCATGTACCTGGCAAGTACACATGCTGAGTACAGGATATCAGGCCTAGTTGCAGTTAAGTACAGAAGGCTGCCAACAATTTTCCTATACAATTCCTCATTTGCAGCTTCACTCCCATCACCTTTCTTTAGCTTATCCGTGGGAGGTAAGGGTATTGAGACAGATTTGCAGCTCTTCAAACCAAACTTGTCCAGTAAACTCAGTGCATACTTCTTCTGGTGAATAAAAATACTCTCTTCTTGTTGGATTACTCATATTCCAAGAAAATGATGCAACAAGCCTAAGTCTGACATTTCATACTTGTTCATCATATCACATTTGAAATCTTCAATCATTTCTAAACAGCTTCCAGTATAAACTATGTCATCCACATATATAGAGACAATCAGAGTTCCCTGTCCATCCATATCTTTCACATATAAGGTTGCCACACTTAGACTTTTTTTAAAACCATTATGCAGCAAATGAGTATCAATGTTGCTGTACCAAGCTCTGGGAGCTTGTTTTAGACTGTACAAGGCCTTTTTTAACTTATACACTTTGTGTTCTTCTCCCTTGACAATATACCCATCTGGTTGATCTGTATACACTTCCTCTTCAAGGATCCCATTCAGAAAAGCAGACTTTACATCTAACTGGAACAGTTTCCACCCTTTCTGTGCTGCCAAAGCAATGAGTGTTCTTATAGTGTCCAATCTAGCCACAGGTGTAAACGTTTCATTAAAATCAATTCCGGGCTTTTGAGTGTACCTTTGGCAACTAATCTTGCCTTGTGTTTTTGTATAGTGCCATCCAGATTCAACTTGGTTTTGAAGATCCATTTTACCCCAACAATTGGTTTGTCACTTGGCCTATCAACCAATCTCCAAGTATCATTCTTCTCAATCATAGTAATCTCATCATCCATTGCTTTCTTCCAAGCTTCATCTTGAGAAGCTTCAATGTAGTTCTCAAGTTCAATGACACTGAGTCTGCACTGAGCAAACACTTCATTCAGGTCTCTCCACTTCTTTGGTGTGTTGTCATAAGTTTCTGTGAGTTGAATTTCACTCTCCATATTCACAGTGTTAGGAGCATCATTGTGTACACTGGGAACATACTCACTTCTTGTATTTGGGTAAGATAAATCAGAGGAACCAATATTAGTTCTTCACACACACCATTTTCTATCTCAGTTATGCTTATACCCTCATTAGCTTCTGAGAAAGGTACTGAGAAATGCACAGTTTCCATATTCTCCCAATTAAGAGCAGCATCTTCATAAAAAATAACACTCCTTGAGACAATGATCTTGTTGTGTTTCAAATCATACACCCTGTAGCCTTTTTCTCTTGTCCCATATCCAACAAATACACCTTTCTGCCCAGTTTCATCCAGTTTCTGTCTTAACTGGGTTGGCACATGAGTGTAGCAAACAGAACCAAAGATTCTCAAGTGTTTTACCCCTGGTTTTCTACCACAGAATTCTTCAAAAGGAGTCTTGTTCTCTAGTGCTTTGGTAGGACACCTGTTAAGCAAGTAGACAGCAGTGTGAACTGCTTCACCCCAGAACTTGAGTGGTAATTTTTTCTCATAGAGCATGGTTCTTGCCATCTCTACTATAGTACGATTCTTCATCTCAGCAATACCATTTTTCTGGGGAGAATAAGTAACAGTGAGTTGCTTTTCAATACCAACATTTTCACAAAATTTTTCAAATTCTAGAGATGTGTACTCTCCTCCTCTGTCACTTTTGAGTTTCTTCAGTTTGTAACCGGTTTGTAATTCAGTCATGGCCTTGAACATTTTAAAAATTCTGAATACCTCAGATTTGCACTTCAGGAAATAGACCCAACACATTCTGGACTTGTCATCAATGAAGGTAAGAAAGTACCTGCTACCTCCAAGAGTTTCACTCATAGGTCCACACACATCTGTGTGTACAAGTTCTAAGGGCAACTTTGCTCTCCATTTCTGTTCTTTGCTAAAGCCTCTCTGTGAGCCTTTCCAGTAGCACACCCTTCACACACCTGATTGTATTCCTTTAGATATGGCAGACCATACACCATGCTCATTTCTTGTAGCATTCTCAGGCTGTCATAGTTTAGGTGCCCAAATCTTCTGTGCCATTTCCATGTGTTACCTTCAGTAGTAGCAATATTTGCTACAATATGATCCACATGATTAAACATTAGTGGAAAGCATCTATTTCCCTTCATTTTCACAGTGGCTATATGATCTTGCAGTTCACGATCTCCAAATATGCAGGCCATGAAATCACCAAACAACAACCAATAGCCATGTTCAACCATTTGTCCTACACTGAGAAGATTTTCATCCAAACCCGGTACAATCATTACTTCTGGTATGAACCGTGTGCCTCTTTTGGTCTCCACCATCAGTGTGCCTTTGCCAACTGAGTCAACCAAATCCCCTGTGCCCATTTTCACCTTACACCTTATACTTCTGTCAATGTTGATAAGCAATGATTCAGTACTGGTCATGTGGTTACTGCAACCATTGTCCAAATACCAAACACCACTATTTTCTTGCACAGAGGCTTTATGACAGGCATAGAACATCATTGCATTATCTTGAACATGATTCAAATAATTTGCAGTATGATTTTTCTTTGGCTGGTGACAATCTCTCACTACATGTCCAAATCTGTTGCAGTTATGACACTTAGGTTTTCCTTTGAACCAACACTCTCCATGATGAGCCTTATCACAGATCTTGCACTTTTGTTTAACACCCTCAGTGATCTCACCCTGTCCTTCAGGCTGTCGAGTATTGTTTTCCCACTTCCTAGACATAGACTTCCAATTCTTCTTTCCCTTACTGTGATTTCCTTGTGTGAGTGGCCTATTCTGTGCTTTAGGTACAAGACCCATAGTGGAGAAAGCATGCTCCGTGCTTGTAATTTCATCAACATGTCTACTCAATCTAAGCTCATAACTCTTAAGAGATCCTACCATTTCTTGCACAGTCACAGTATTCAAATCAGAAGTTCTTTCAATCACAACACAGATTGGATCATATTTACTAGACAAACTAATCAAAACCTTTTGCACTTCTCTTTGATGAGTGAGGTTCTCACCATAAGATTTCATTTGATTAATTAATTCAAATAGTCTAGTAAGATAGACAGATAGAGATTCATTCTCCTTCATTCTCATATACTCAAATTCACGACGTAAACTTTGAAGTTTAACGGATCGTGCCTGTTCATCGCCGCGAAACTCCTCCTGGAGTAGATCCCAGGCACTCTTTGAGGTCTCTTGATTCACAATCCGAGGGAAGATCTCATTCGAGATAGCACTCTGAATAATGCCCAGTGCCTTAGCATCTTTCATGAGCTGATCCTCCATGTGCGCGACCAACTCGTCATCGTCTCCTTCATCGTCATCTGATGAGGATGTATCTTCCTCGTCTTTCTTCTTCTTTGTTTTTTTTGTTTCTCCTTCTTCTTCAATTCTGGAATAGCAATTCCTTTGTCAACCAATTTCCAGATCCCATATGATTTGAAAATGGTGACCATCCTCACTTTCCAGAACTCGAACTCTGTTCCATAAAAAACGGGAGCTCGTAAATCACCGCTTCCAGATCCAGCCATTTCAGTTTGAATCAAAATGAAATTGAGAGATTTCACGTTGGATTCTCTCACACAATTTCACAGAGTTCGACGCCCAGTCAGAAATCGAACCTAGGCTCTGGATACCATGTTAAACTCTAAGGTTATGCAGTGATGTATTTCAGCAATTTTCATATAAGAAAAAAGTTTTTAGAGAGAGAGTGAAGAAGAAGAGGGAGTGCACAAAAATCTCATAGAGAGCTAAGATTGCTCTCCTGAATATATTCCATTCTTTCCTCAACATTTACATGACTACTAGGGAGAGAGAAGCTACGAGAGCCTATGAGCTCATTATACCATTCATTACAAGACCCTATGAGATCTTGACACATGCTCACATCTGAGCCTAGCACAATATTATCTAATCTCAGCCCATGATCACTAACTAATTTTATTTTACACTTGCTAAAGTAAGGAAAACATAGTTTAGACCTTAATCCGCTAACAAAATCACCTTTCCTTTAGCACTTAAAGCTGATTCGAAATTTTCAGGGGTTACTATGCTTCCCACAGCTGCTGCACAGTACAAAATTTCCAAAAATTTCATCTGTCTATCTTTGCTTCATCGGTAAGTAATTAACCAGAGATTGATCATCTTTGCTCTCTATTGCGATGTTTACTTACCAAGATATCGAGTTTCCCGAATTGGGTTTTGACAAAATCCGCCAATCTAGCAACACTAACAGAATCTGTTACATCAAGCTGATGAAAAACCACCCGGTCGAAGAATCCCAACTCTTTCAATTTTTCAAGAACTTCAAGACCCCTATTCTCATCTTTAGCAGTTAAAACCACTGTGATCCCATTTGAAGCCAACTGCTTAACTGTGCCAAATCCAATCCCTCTGTTAGCTCCTGTCACAACTGCATACGTGACAGTAAAAAAATAAAAAAACCCAATAAAAATATATTGACAAATTCTGCAGGATAAAAGAAGAAGATAATTTATAAAAATGGGGTGTTTACTGCTTCTTCTGCCATTGTTAAGTAGCTTGGGTTTCAGCTTATTCTTTCTTTCTAGTTCTCAGACCAGCATTTATAGATATTTGACTAGTTTTCAGAGATTCACTTGTTACAATTCCTCAGCTTTTGCAGATTGTGTATGTACTGAGGTCATATGTACCAAGTTGTATTACTTTGACTATTATTTGCCCTTTTGGGGTTTGAAATTTCGGCCACCCATTTTGGTTTCTTGGCTTCACATTACTTTAGTCTAAAGAAAGCATTGGAAATGGCACTGTAGAAATGAACAGTGAATTTCACTTTATTTACAAAGCTGCCACTGACTCTCTCTGCCGCTAATCTGCACACGCGTTGATGATCACGGGAAGGGAACAACAATGGTAAAGCAGGCCTTTTCCGTTTCCTTTTCAAGCCCTCCCTCCCTTCTTCGTGTCGCACACCTCGCCTTCTCTCTGTCGCACTCCTTACCAGAACTCGAATTAATGGTGAGGTGCATGTCGTTGTGTGACCCATCTTCAGCTCTGTCTCTTTCACTCTTGAGGTACCTGCTGTTGGATTCCATTTGTTGTTGCCGATCTACAGGTAAAGCTTCAATTTCCATATTGGGGTTCCAATTTTCTTCATTTCTGGAATTTGGGTTTTTATTTCAGTAATTTAATTGTGACTGTCAGTTTGTCCTTGCGACTGTGAGAGAGAGAGAGAGAGAGAGAGAGAGAGAGAGAGAGAGAGCAAGGGAACCAGCAATGGAGCGAGAGAAAGAGAGAGTGAGCTTGGAGGGAGGGAGAGAGAGTGATTCTGTGAAACCAAAAGAAGAGTTTTGGGCCATGTGAAATACAATTCTAGTGGATCCATTAAGTTACTTCCGAAGTTTGAACCAATATGTTTTGTGTTTTGTGTCATTTGAGTCATTTTTTGTTTTCAGGTCTCAGAAAAGTGTAAAATAAGAACTGAAAATTAAAAAATGAAATAGTTATAAAACGTGTTTTAAAAGTACAGTGTTGTCTATGATAATACAAGGATCATTATCTTATCGTTGCATAAGAAAATATAATCATCTGTATCCCATGAATTTGAAAGGGTTTGTTGTACTGAAAAGGGTGAGACTTCTTGAGATGGAAGTAATGGCCACAAGGACATTACAAAAAAAAGGATGAGACTTCGGGTACTTCTTGGTCCCAATTCGCGTAACGCATTTGTAGATGTCTTCGAGAGAATATAGCCAGAGAGGGAAGTAGGCCAACTTTTGGTTTCCAGCGTATCTTCTTTCAAGTCTTTTAGAAACTCACCCAGAACATCTTGTGTTCTCTCTTTTGTGAGTTCCTAACTTCCTCGGCATCACTTAAAATCCCATTGGCCCATTCATTTCGCAGACGCTGTAACAAGCTGCACTCCGATAAGGCGGATCATTCAAAAAAAGGAAAACTAATGAAAAGGGTTTGAAAACTTTGAGTTTTAATGATAAGGACAAAATAAAGGGTAAAGTGAATAGTACCAGGTTTGACTTTTTAGTGTAAAAATGTGGTTTTTCGTTAAAGTGAACAGTACCGTGGGTTTTTCGTTAAAACTCACTTAAAAAAAAGCTAACAAACTATCCCCAGTACAGATGTACACTTTTTGGCCTGATGGGTTGTGTACCTTCCTAAGTTCTCTCATAAACCCCAACATTTCTGGAGTAACAACCTGGGATTCAAGCGAAATACATTCAATCAGAAAATTTTATGCACATAACCAGATTAAGAAATCTAAAAGATCATGTCCTTCAAATCGATAATCCATTACGATAAACCGGTCCATAAAATTCTAACTGAAAAATAAACAGTGATTTAAGAGGAAAAATAAAATTCACAGATTCATACCTTTCTAGGAGCTGTGAGAGTCCCACATCAAACAAGGCAATCACACCAGGCTTCCTAACAGCCATATACATTCGATCTAGTTTTCCTGCCAACAATCACACAGTACCACAATGCTCAGTTAACAATTTAATCTCTTGAATTTATGCGACCATCTGTAAATCCAGCAAGCTTGCCGGAAAAAGCAAAACATAAATTACCCAGATGTTAATTAAAAAACATTAAGACCCAAAACCTAATACTTATTTACTAGCAAAACATGAATTTATGAGATAGCATTACCCGTGAAGCATATGTCCTCTGTAGTTAACGCTACATAGTCTTCTCACATTGTGAATCCAAAAGCTTGTACATAAACTATCAAGCCTTATTCTTCATTTAACACAGAGAGGGCCTCTGTAAGCACCTTGTTGGTACCATATTTGTTTGTTTCCATGTATTAGTCTGCATTGCAACCTCCTAGTTTTGGGGTCAAAATTTCAGACTTCTTCATGCTTTTGCATCCAGGAGAAAAAATTCATCAACTTGGAAGTTTTTCAACATTACTTCCGGACCTTAGAAGATGTAAAAAAACTACAAGAACAAATCTATAAGAAATTTTACCTGTACTGCAGAATCATCATATAAATAAATGTTGACATAACATAACTCCATCAACTTCATATCTTACATTTTACATAAACATTCCACAATCATCGTTCACATGTTACGTTGAACATAAACTACACATGTTCAAAAAGGTGTCACTTCTTTCCGAACAAAGTAGAGGCCAGTAGGACCACCATTGGGGAGTAGCGCCAACCTGACAATGCTCTCAGCTCCTTCGTCAATGGTTAAGATGCCATAATTGAAGGTCATATCTGTTTTGACTGATCCAGGGCTGCCACAGTTGACGCAGAATTTTGGATACTTCTTGGCCAGAGTCCTAGTGTACGCGTTCAGGGCTGCTTTCGATACTTTATAAGCTGGGAAGATAAGAGGCCAGCTTTTGGTTTCTAGCAAGCCTTGTTTATAGTCTTCCAAAAACTCACTCAAAACAGCATCTATTCTCTCTTCTGTAAGGCTTTCAGCATCGCTAAGTACCTCTTTAGCCCATCCATTTGGAAAATTCTAAAGCGACACAAAAGATGGGAGAGTTTTAACTTGATTCAGAAACATAAAAATTGCATCAACATATAACTAAAAACATGGATTCTGCATGACTTAACATTTCACTAATATAGTTCAGAAAAAATTCTAAAACTTCAGCATTTCTAGTAAATTGGTTTACTCTGGAATTGATTAATGTTCTAATGTAATCCCAGAGCTCCATTATACTTAATTAAGCAAAGAAAACAATGATTTATTGTTTGTACATTTCAAGAAGCATATTTTTGAAGTTGCTCTACCATTAGCTTAGCAGCACCGGAAGAAACATTAATGATTCTTGGCGAATCAGATAGCTGGAGGAGGGGCAAAAGCGCCTCAGTCACACTTTTGGAACCATAGTAGTTTGTTTTCAGGCATTCTTCTGCTAACTCATAGTTTGGTGTCATCGATATTTCACTCCAATTGATTTCATCAGGCTTCTGCATCCAAAATCATTACTCTCATCAATTACGATTGCATATAAGTCTAAAATTACCTTCACTCTATGATGATGATATATATACACTATACATAACCTCACCTTACCAATTACAGCTGATCTAAAACTTTCAGGGTTTACTATGCTACCATTAATTCCTGCATTGTTTACCTACACAGTAGAAAAGCTCCAACTTTTCATCTTTGTTATGCTTATTCTAACTTGAAAATTAGATTATAACAAGTATCATCAGTATACAATAGACATTATATTGCAATATGATCTGTGGAGTACAACCCAACTCAAAATTTCAAGGATTACCAAGATATCGAGTTTCCCGAATTGGGTTTTCACAAAATCTGCAAGGGAAGCAATGTCAGCCGAATTTGTTACATCAAGCTGATGAAAAACCACGCGGTCGGAGACGCCAAACTCTTTCAATTTTTCAAGAGCTTCAAGACCCCTCTTCTCATCTCTAGCAGTTAACACCACCATGATCCCATTTGAAACCAACTGCTTAACTGTGCCAAATCCAACCCCTTTGTTAGCCCCTGTCACAACTGCATACCTGACCAAAATACAAAAACCCAAAAAAAAAAAAAAGGAAGGAAAAATAAGAAAGGGTTTTTTTTATTTGATCAAAAGATACGTAAGAACTAAAACACTACAACCTCTTTGTTGCTTCTGCCATTGTTCTTGTTTCTGCCAAGTCGCTAAAATGAGGGGACTATAATGCAGGGGTTAGTTTCCACGATCCCAGTCCCATCGATCAAACGGTTAAAGTTGATCGTTACAACCCGGTTTCCAATCATCCGTTAAAAACCAAACTCACGGGATTCACGTGGGTGCGAAATGAGGACAAATATATGCGGTTTCAGAATGGTGGATGTATGTGGGATTATGTGGCGAAGATTGTGAGGAAGTAGGAGACTTTGTGGAGTCGTCTGGCGTTGTTTTTTTGTTGTTGTGGCAATTGATGGAGCAGGTGGTGGGGGTGAGTGGTTCTGCATACTAGACAGCTCAGGAGGGAACGTGTTGAAGTGCATGTAACTGAGAAGCCGGGAATTGGAATTGGGTTGCTGGACGCTCATCCGTCATGTGAATAGCGACACGCATAGTTTTAGTGCTGAAAGAAAAAGCCGAGAGATGCTCTGCGGAAATGGTGGTGAAGATCCTTAAGCTGCAAACGAACACAAAGCCTCGTGCCAAAGCTCGTTGGTAGATATTGTTAATATGACATCAGTATATGAAATATAATGCTGATATAACGTCAAATATTAGGTGACAACACGTGAATACAACAAAGTTTTGTATATAGGAGACCTCGGTTTAGTCAGTTTAGCTAGACCAGTGTGCTCTTCTATTTGCACTCAAGTCCAAATTTATTTTCATGTATTTTAGATGAATTTAACGAAACTATCTGAAAGAAAAATTATCTGAAGGAGTTACAAAACTGCTTCAGTCCCTTTAATTGGTACTATACTATTTGTTTCCATGCATGTACTCTTCTGCAAACTCATAGTTTTGGTACCCCAAATCTCCAAGACCTATGGCTATTACTTTGGGGGAACGAAGGTACGCTGGTGCAACAAGAGTGGGATCTAGGCTTCCCAATCAGCGACGTATGGAGGATAGTATAGAGGATACTAGTATGAAAGGAGTCAATTATATAGTGGACCCCAACCCAGCGGCACTGCATTAGGACAAATGAAAAGGAAAAAAGAGGTGGCATAGAATACAAAGAAGGAGCGAAGGGCAGAATTTCAACCTGACTCAGCGGATAATGGAAGGATGTGGGCCTCTGTTGAACCAGCGATTTGTCATGGGCTTTGAGCCTGTGGAGATGCACAGTGAGCAAGGAAGAAATTCGACGGTCACGATCGAGGAAATTCAAGAAGAGATCTATACCCAAACCGAAGGAGTAGTTGTTGTGCCTCAGACCCAAACACATACTCCACAGATCAAACGGGGGACAGAGACAAGTATGGAAAGGACTTCTAGAGAGTGTGGTCGAGCTCTTCAGGTGGAGGCGTGCGGCAGCATTACTAAGCGGGAACTGGAAGTTAAGAACAAAGAGATGGTGCATTCCCCTCAGAAAAGAAAAAAAAGCAAAAACAGGGGAAGAGAGCATAAGGGTAAAGGACAGAAAAGAGAAGGATGCAGAAAAACTAAGGAAAATGACCACAAGGGAAAGATGCCTGATGCTGGAGAGGGCGATTTACACAGAGGAGGAACTTCAGGAAGTCCCGGTAAAGTATCATGATATGTGGGAATACATGGAGAAGATCTCTGCAGGTGAGAAAAATGCCCTATTGGCAAAGAAAGCAGGAAACCCATCCCGAGGCGGTGGCGGCTGGCCTTCAACAACTGCACGAGGCCCATGATACATCTCTTTTGGAATTACCGTGGTCTGAAGCCCTACATGGGCAAATTGGGAAACACAAGCCCTCTATGATCTTTCTTTTGGAAACTAAAATGAAAGATCATATAATAGAAGGGGCTAGGCAGCGTAATGGTTTCAATGTCATTTCGGTATGGAGAATGGGTGGTCTGAGCCTCTGGTGGGATGATTCGGTGCAAATGGAAATAATGGAGTCCTTAAAACACTTTATTGATGCTAGATGCAGCTATGTAGACTCCTAGTATGAGTTCCGATTCACGGGAGTCTATGAAACCTCTTACCGGGTTGAGAATGCGAACTTTTGGAGGGGAATGATTCATAAATTTGGCCCAAACAATATCCTAGGACAACAAGTACGTTCTTTTCAAACTTATCTTTAACTTCATTCTAAATGTCTTAAATATCTAGTGCGTTGTAACCTAGACTTGTTGTGTTGTGGTAAGGCAGACAGCAGAGTTTTCTGATTAAAATTTGTCGACTACCTATCCACTAGCTTGGCCATTCACGACATTGCTCCTCGGAACATGGGGGTTTTCATACTAAAGCTTGTCATCGAGTTCATAAGAGGTCGTGCATTTCTGTAAAGGGTTATATGAACATTTATTTGAGTAGTTTTTCTTGTTATAACCTGTTGAGGCACAAAATCAGTGAGGACTTTGGTACAATAAAAAGTGTTAAGATTGTGACATTCGCTAGATTGCTTCGGTCACTAGTGTGGATAAGTATGTAAATGGATAGGGACATGGAAGCAAACACAAGATGTATGTGGTTCGCCCAGATTGGCTATGTCCACGGAGTAGAGGAGTTCTCATTAATTGTGAAGGGTTTACACAAGTACATAGGTTTAAGCTCTCCTTTAGTGAGTACTAGTGAATGATTTAGTACAAATAACCTTAGGAAATATTGTGAGAGAATGATCTCTATTTATAGAAGAGAGTATCTAGTTTCATTCTGACATTGACACGTGTCGTGTTGTGATTGGCTTCTGATGTTGACAAATGTCGCGCTATGATTGGTTTCTGATGTCGACACGTATCGTGCTGTGATTGGCCTCCTGGTTGTAGGGAAACTCTTCTGGGTCCTTGACGGTATAACGTTGACCGGTGCTAAGTAATTTCAGGATTGGTCAAGTATGGTACAAACAGTGCTCCCCTAAGTTCCCGAGTGAGGGAAACTCCTCGGTTGGGGACTTGTAAGATCCAAGCCATTGAGTAATCACGAAACTTCTAACTACCGAAGTGTGGTATCATTTTCACTTGCTTTATCTGTCTCATACATAGATGTGGCATCTTCTCTGGAAGTACTTTTCCTCCATCCAGGGGTGGTATCTTTAACCGATGAAGATGCACAAAGTAATGTATCAATTTCACTTGAAGCTTACTTGTAGTTTCGGGTTTGGTCAAGTGTGATACAAAACCCTATAGTAGGAGTCCCCTAAGTCGCCGAGCTAGGAGATTTGCCGAAAGAGGTAACAGACAAGGTAAGCAATCAGATTTCCAAGCAAGCAACCTGGATCGATGGTTCGACTACGGCTTCCGGTTGATTGTTCTCCTTCTCCTTGTGTCGTAAACAGCAACAAGGATAAGGAGAAGCAAATGGAGAAGAGATGATATGAGATACTTTTGCTTTTGAAAAAGTAACTTTCCACATGCTTATTCTTGAACTAGGCTGGAGGGTTTTTTGGTTTCCTCTAGAGTATAAGGCCGACTCAAGAATTTGAGGGTCAAAACAAGTCCATCAAATCAAGAGTGTGTTCGACCTTGATGATATGGGATACTTTTGCTATTGACGAAGTAATAGATGAATCAGCATGTGTTCTGTTGCACTTGTCTCCACATGCTTCCTTGTATCCTTCTCACTTGCCCTATATGTTCCTCAGGCAGATGTGGTATCTTTTCTGGAAGCATAAGATGTTAAAGATGAGTACTCAAGAGCAATGCCAGGTAAGTAATCAGGCAAGGGGTTCCAGGCAGTCAGTTCCTGACTGGAAGCTTGATTCCAAGTGCTGCCTGATTGCTCTCTTTCTCCTTGTCTTGCAGGTAAGAACAAGGGCAAAGGAAAAGACAAGGAAAAAGCATGATATGGGATACTCTTGCTTTTGACCCTGATGATATGAGATACTCTTGCTCTGTTGTGGCTGGTTTGCATGGGTATTATTGAGGGAGGGAAAAAAACTGAGTATTTCTAGAGGCTTCGTTGGGAGTGCCCTCTCAGATATGAGGAAGGGTTGAGCATTTTTACAGGTCTACCTGTCTGTGAAGGATGGAGGTCGACATATATAGGAGTCTGCCTAACAACAAGTAGTAATGCTATTCCTTTACCCTTCTTGGTCGTAGCAATATAGTGAGAGCTACAAGCTTCACGTGTTTTAACTTTGTTAGAGCACTTTGAAAAAGTGGTATGTGGTATCTGGAAAGCTGATGTTGCGTGTGAAGATTGCAGACAAGCTTTATCCAAGGAAATCTGGCTCTCGAAGTTCGAAGAGCGATGCCTCTTTTGTTTTCGAACAAGCAATCCTGTCGGGGATCTGGCTCTCGAGATTCGGAGAGCGGTGCCTCTTCGATTTTTGAGAAAGCAATCATGTTGGGAGTCTGGCTCTTAAGATTCGGAGAGCGATGCCTCTTCAATTTTTGAGAAAGTAATCCTATTGGGAGTCTGGCTCTCAAGATTCGGAGGGCGGTGCCTCTTTCGAGATTCGGAGGGCGGTACCTCTTCGATTTTTGAGCAAGTAATAATGTTATTCCTTTATCCTTCTTGCTCATAGCAATGTAGTGGGAGCTACAAGCTTCACATGTTTTAACTTTGTCAGAGCGCTTTGAAAAAGTGGTCTGTGGTATCTGGAAAGCTGATGTTGCATGTGAAGATTGCAGACAAGCTTTATCCAAGGAAATCTGGCTCTCGAAGTTCGGAGAGCGATGCCTCTTCAGTTTTCGAACAAGCAATCCTATCGGGGATCTGGCTCTCGAGATTCAGATAACGGTGCCTCTTCGATTTTTGAATCAACGGCCCTATTGCCTTTTCTTTTATAAGGGCACCAATTGTGTGCAAGGAGTACATTCAGAGAGTTATTGCTTGTAAGAATTTTTCCCTTATTTCAGAGATTTATTGCACCTCATTTCTCCTTCATCATTTTTGAGAATGTCTGGCCCATCCGACCGTCATTTTGACTTGAACTTTGGTGAAAAGGCAGTCATGCCTTCTCAAGACAACAAATGGCGCCTATCCTTCTTATCCCCTACTAGTTCTCTTACCGTTGGGGACTCTGTGATAAAGAATGATATGACCGCTGCGGTGATGGCCAGGAACCTTCTCACTCCCAAAGATAACAGACTACTTTCTAAACAGTCTGATGAGTTGGCTGTTAAGGATTCTCTGGCTCTCAGTGTTCAGTGTGTAGGTTCTGTGTCTAATATGGCCCAACGCCTATTTGCTCGAACCCGCCAAGTTGAATCATTGGTGGCTGAAGTGATAAGTCTCAAACAAGAGATCAGAGGGCTCAAGCATGAGAAAAAACAGTTGCACAGGCTCGCACCTGACTATGCTACAAACATGTAGAGGAAGCTCGACCAACTGCAAGAATCTGATGCTCAGATTTTACTTGATCATCAGAGGTTTGTGGGTTTGTTCTAAAGGCATTTATTGCCTTCGTCTTCTGGGGCTGTACCGCGTAATGAAGCTCCAAATGATTAACCTTCGGTGCCTCCTCCTTCTGGGGTTCTGCCTAGTACTGAGGCTCCGAATAATCACCTTCTGGTGCCTCCTCTTTCTGGGGCTCTGTTGACTGCTGAGATGTCTCCTGAGTAACCTTTGTGAAAGCTC